CCGGCAGGTGGGAGGCAATGAATCCAGGGCGTGCGGGGTCATGGGGTCTGTGGTGGACGGGGAGGACAATGGCAGTGACAGCGTCTGGGGAGGGTAGGAAAAACCCGACACCAGCGACATCCGCCACGAAATAAAACATTTCAAATGCGATCTCCCAGCTCTCAGCACAGCCCCGTGCTGCTTTATCTGGTGAACAGGAGACCCTTGTTATTATCAGTTGTGATATTCATTTTCCGGGTGACCCTGGGCAGCTCACCCCGCGTCTCTGAGCCTGTTCTTCCACCTGTCACTACTCGCTCGAGGACAAAAAGATGCCCTTGCAGGAACACGCCAGGGCTCTCGTGGCCTGGCAGCTACTCCCGGTGCGGGCGTGGGGTGGCCCAGGAGGGTGGACGGGTCAGGGTTCAGGCGCCCCGCTCGCTCTCTCCGGGCCGCGGACCCCTCCCTTCCGACCTGTCTGCACTTGGTAGCTCGACTCCTTCTGCCAGCCTCTCTGTCCTGTTAGATTTCGGGGTTTTCCATTCTCCCCCCCAACTCAGGGTTGGGAGAAGGACAGCGGCCTCCACTGTTATGGGCTGGGCTGCGTACGACTTTCCCGTGTCCCAGCCTCTCCCCTCCTCGGGGCAGGGCTGCCACGGGTGGCCGGCCTGGCGCCTGTCTGCTCAGCCCCAGGTCCCCCTCGCCTCTCCCTCCGTCCCTCCACCCGCGTGGCTCCCAGCCATCTGGACTCGCCAGCGACGCCCTCTCCCCCACATGCGCGTGGAGAGGGCCGGTGTGAGCCCCGCGTGGGAGGCCCGAGCATCCCGCCAACACCAGCCAAGGGATGCGGAAGACAGCTCGTGGGTGACAAAACTACAACCAACGACTAAACTGCGGAGACCCCAGGCCGGGGTTTGGCAAACACAGATGGAAACATGCCTCCGATGAAAAATCCTAACGACTTTTGCTCTTGTTCAGAACTGAGGACTGACTTTGGTCGTCGGGAAGGAGGGGCTTTGGGTGGGCTGGAAGCCGTGCGCCCCCTGCAGGACGCCCAGGGTTCTGCAGCCAGAGAGGCCCTGGTGCTCCCCTGCCTCCATGTCCCCCACAGTGCCCCCGGACCCTTGGGAAGGACAGCCCTGGAGGCAGGCAGGAAGCGGTGTCCTCTGTGGTGGTTTTTAGTGAAAAGGGAAACTGAGCCGGGCTCGGTGGCTCAGCCTGTAATCCCGCGCTTTGGGAGGCTAAGGTGAGTGGATTGCCTGAGCCCGCGGGTTCGAGACCCGCCTGGGCAACTTGGAGAGACCTCATCTCTACAATAAATCAAAAATTAGCCGGGCGCGGTAGCGCGCGCCTGTAGTTCCGGCTACTCGGAGGGCTGAGGCGGAAGGATCGCTGGAGCCAGCAGGTCGAGGCTGCGGTGACTGGGAGTGGCCACTGCACTCCAGTCTGGGCCATGGAGTGAAACTCCAACTCAAAAAAAAAAAAGAAAAGAAAAGGGAAACTGAGGCAGGGGAGGCAGCCATTTCTGGGCAGATCAGGGTCCACATCTCTGACAGACTGAGACTCCCATCTGGGTGTTTCTGAGCCAGGCCATGGCTTCTGCAGGGACCGAGATGTCCACAGCTTAGGGAAGCCCTCAGGTCAGGTCTGCACCGAGTCCATGCCTGAAGCCCAGGGAGACAGTTAATGTATTTGACCCCAGGGACCCGGGGGCTGGGACAGGGGAGCAGGAGCCCCCGGGGGCCAGAGGCCACTCACCACTGGGGATGGGCCTGGCAATGTTTTAACAACTGGCCTGTGCACCACTCGCTGTCACACAGCGCCTGGCGGGGACCCGGCACACGTCGTCCGGGGAGGCCGAAGCCACCGGCCTCACATCCCAAGGCTGGGAGGCCTCGAGGAAGCCGGGAGGCCGGGCGCCGGGGCCCTGCCCGGTGCTCTGGCAGGTGAGACGACCCCGCCCGGGGCTTGGCCTGGAGCCTGGTGCGAGGGTCTTGTCTTGCTCAAGGATGCTCGCCGCCCCTCTGGTCGCCGCACCTGTACCTCCTCCTCCACCGGCTCTTCTCCCTTGAGAGCCGTGACCCTCCGCACTGAGAGGCATCATCCAGCACACGGCCCCGCATCTGCACGGCCCGGCAGCACGGGCCAGCGTGGCCGCACCTGTCCCCAGTACCTCGGGGGCAGCCTGGCCGCCGGTGACGCGCCACACAGCGCCCTTTCTCGGGGTTGCAACCTGTGTGGGAAGGCACAGGTGGGGCGGCTTGGCTCGGTCACCCGCCAGGCTCCCCGGCTGGTCTCTGCGGGGACCTGTCTGGACCTCACAACCTCCTCAGATGAGACAGGGCTGGGTGGGAGGAGGGACCAGAGGCTATGGAAGGAGCCCCGGGTGCTGGACCATCTCCTTCTCCGAGGGGCTGGTGCAGGGAGCTCTCCTGAACCTAAGTCCTCTCACCTGTGCTTTTCAAAGCTGGCCTGGTCCCTGGACATGAAGTTTCCTGCTTACTTCATGGGTCATGTCCAATGGGGACCATCCCACCCCCCGGGTGGTCCCTTCCAGGCACAGGGATGACAGGGAAGAGGTTGTCCCCATGCCTTTCCTTCCTCGCCCACCCAGGAAGCTCTCAGGTTCCAACAGTTGCCAGGACTCCCAGCATGAAGGTGCCTCATGGCCTCATTTTTTTTTTTTTTTTTTTTTTTTTGAGTCAGTATCTCACCCTGTGGCCGAGGCTGGAGGGCAGTGGCATGCTCAAGGCTCGCCGCAGCCTTGACCTCCTGGGCTCAGGCGATTCTCCTGCCTCAGCCTCCTGAGTAGCTGGGACTACAGGTGTGCACCACCATGCCCTGCTAATTTTCTTTATTTTTTGTAGAGATGAGGTCTTGTTGCCCAGGCTGGTCTTGAACTCCTAGCCTCAAGTATCCTCCCACCTTGGCCTGCCAGCGTGCTGGGATTGCAGGCGTGAGCTGCCACACCTGGCCGTGGTCTTGCCTTTAAGAGGCTGGGGATGCCACTGCTCTGCTAAGCTTTGGTCTGACTGTGTGGCTCCTTGAGCTATGGGCACCACGTTTCCTGGCTTTGGCCTGCTCCCCTGCCTTGGGGAGGTGAATCTCCTCTCTCTTCTCTCTAATTTACTTTCTAAATAAACTATATTTTCCAATCTGAAAAATAAAGAGGATGGGATGGAGGGAATGACCATCTTAGAGAGGATGTACCACGGTGGTCTCTCGGGTCTCTGGCCAGGACATCCGTCCCCCAAGCTCCCAATTGAATCATGGGGTCCCCGTAGGTCGTGCTGGGCTTGCTGGTTAAACATGTGGACTCCTGGCCGGGCTCGGTGGCTCAGCCTGTAATCCCGCGCCTTGGGAGGCTGAAGTGAGTGGACTGCCTGAGCCCGCGGGTTTGAGACCCGCCTGGGCAACTTGACGAGACCTCATCTCTACAATATATAAAAAAAAATTAGCCGACCACATCACAAGCCGGTCAGGGACACCAACCGCGATCACTACAGAGCGGGCAAGAAAGAGCCAGCCCGATGGAGAGGGTGCTGGCCCGGCCGGCAGGGGTGCCGCTCAGGAAGCCGACGCCTGAGCCACGGCCTGAACCCAAATCCTACCTGGGTCTGCGACACTGATTCTCCCCACTCCCTGGTTCAGGGCATGTTGTCCTGCTGTTCTCGGAGGGGCGCTCAGGAATGAGGGGCCCCTGCCACTTTCTGTGGCTGTTGGCATTGACTCCCAGAGCTGGATCTGACCTCTCTGGTGCTTTTCAGGGTTCTTCAAAGGCAGGAGCAGGAGAGCGTGTCCCAAGCCGGGAGAGCCCGCGCCCTGGGGTGGAATGGGGGCGCGGCGACCCCCAGGGCCCTGGCGCCGGCTGTGACATCCGAGGTGTGACGTCAGGGCAGCTGGGCGACGTCCACGGGGCCAGGGACGGGGCAGACGGCGCCCCGGGGCGTGCGCGGCCGTGCCCTCTGTGCCCTCCCCTGCGACAGCTGCACCCTGGCGGGGACATTAGGGTCCCACGGGGACTCGGGGACTCGGGGCCTCACCGCGCGTCGGGAGCGACCCGGAGCAGGTCGTCGGCTGGATGGCACTCCCAGGCGTGTGCGCGGAGACCGCGGGCATGGCCC